GCAATCGGCGTCGCCCATGGACTCCTAGAACACCAGAGGCGTTACAAGTGCGTTGCCGGCCTTTTGAGGATTAGGAGTTTGAGGATCGTTGGGGATTCAGGAATTAGGGAGATCGGGGAAATGGAGGGTAATTGGGCCTCCGGTAACCTCACTCACACGACGAAACACAACGCAAGCGTTGCTTCACGTCGGTTTTCTGTGAGGCCGTGGTATCACTCCAGTCGAGCCGGCCCATTCGTGCCGAAGCATGGCTCTCCCACATTATAATGTATTTGAAAATTGTCGAGCTGTACTACTCCAAATAAAAGAGGCATTATTTTCTTTCATGTTTTTTGTTAACAGGCGCGCATTTCACCACATGCCCAATTGTACACAAAGAAATGTGTTTCCACACAAAAACGAGACGATTTGTGTTTTTGCGAACATTATTCTTATTTTTGTGCGATAACTGTAAATTACGAAGAATGGTGGAACAGTTTTGTTGTTTTTGCGTATATTTATAACGAAATATGGTCATGATGGAGAGAAATTATCGTTCCTACAGACATACGTTTGTATTATTTTTAATGGACTACAGAACGTAAGCAATGACAACAAAAATACTGATTTCTTATGTCAAATGGCACAAGTGTGAGAGAGCCATGCTTCGGCATGAATGGGCCGGCTCGACTGGAGTGATACCACGGCCTCAAAGAAGACCGACGTGAAACAACAATGTGTTGTGTTTTGTCGTATGAATGAGGTTACCGGATGCCCAATTATCCCCCCCATTCCTTTCCCCAATCTCTGAATCCGCTAATAAAATGACGCTTCTGGTATTCCAGGTCTCCATGGGCGATGCCGATTGCTTACCATCAGGTGATCCGTCTGCGTCTTCAAAAAAAAGTATTTTAGTAGGTACTGCTAAGAATGGAGTATAGTTCATGGAGCTTAATGTATGGGTTGGTATCTAAAATAATTTTTATAAATTTTCAACCGACCAATTTTCAAAAAGAATAAGAATTCGGTTTAAAAAAAGGAAGATCTCAGATTAACCAGTATGTTTGTGCGCGATTACCTCGCTATTGGCTGAACCGATATTGATGCGGTTATCAGAAAAGTTATTTTTTACACTTAAGACAAGGTTATAATTAATTAATTTAAAAAAAGAGGCGGTTGAAGTTGGCTTATTAACGCGCTTTTTTATTATGTGTCTTTAAATTGATGCAAAGTGTTTGTTAAATCGATATTTTGTTAGTTGCCTTGTTCGAGTCAATAAACGCTTCCAAGCTTCAGAGAAGCAGTAGCCGAACTTACTAAAGCCTTTGTGAAAAAATGGGTTTTCCTTTTATTATTGTTTACCTTTACTATCTAAAAAAATCGTGGTTTCAAAATTACTTTTGCAACCCAAATGCGTACCATGGCATAGTTTTTCCGGACATGTTTCGTTTGCTTAGTAATTTTCGAGTCCCAAAGTCTAACAGACGGAAAGAAAGCGAAGTGGTTTCACTTTCAAACAAATTATGGTGCGATGGGATCGCACACACGCCTTTATTTGACAAGTACACGAGGCCCTTATGCGGGGCCGCCATCTTGTTTTAAGATAAAACGAAATTTTTGAGGTTATGTCAATTCTTTTAGGTTACGTTGGAATTTTATGAGAAATACAGATTGATGATTGCAATCTTTGAGCGTAGATTTGCTACTGAAAATTTGTCGTTTTCAAAATTGATTATACTGCGCACAGTATCAAATTCAATAGGCACATAATGCAATGAAATGCAAATACAGTTTGTTCAATGAATTCATTTAAACACAACAAGAGCAAATGGGAGAGAAAATATCAATTAAATAACATATCATAACATCACACCTTTTATCCCCGAAGGGGTACGTAGAGGTGTACATTATGCCACTGTACAATGTAACACCCAATTTTCACTATTTATTTTATGAGTCCCATGTAATAGGGAGTGAGCCTATTGCCATATACCGGACACAATTCCAGACTCCGTGCTACTAGTGAGAATGTTTAAAAAACCCAGTAATTCTTTGCCCGACCCGGGAATCGGCAAACGAGGCAGTATCAATAAAAATACCAATTAAATATTTTCAATAAACAGTACCTAATCAACAAATAGATAACCATCAATTAACATACACATTACACTTTCCCTTCTTACCATTTAAAACTTACAAGTACATAAACTATCAACTAGTTACTTAAGTAACTTGGTATCTAAGTTGGAACATCAAAAAAGTCGTTAAAAGTCTCACATTTTGTTAGTAAGTGGTCTCCCTACTGCCATAGAGAGAGCTTTCAACTTGTTTTCTTAGTACATTGGCAGGCATATGAACCTACTACAATCTGTCAAGTTTATTCATTGCATTTTCGACTTTATGTCAATAGAATAGAGTTGAAGATGTAATAGAGAAAATTGCTAGAAATGGATAGGTTTGCCTGCTGGCCATCGTACACTTCTTCACTTTCGATAGCTGCCATCCACTTTACTACTCAACTGTACCGATCTTACACTTCACAAGTACTTAAGACTCGCCTTTGATAACGTTACGGTACATGCGAGAACTAAAGGTGTGATGGGGTGATTTTTTAAATTTTACTTTTTAGTCTGCCTTGTTGGATGACTCGTTGCAAGAGTGACTACCGTGCAAATGAAAACTGGGTTTTTAAAAAAAAACTCAGTTTTAGGAGTCTGGAAATGTAACCGGTATATGGCAGGCTCAGCCTCTATTACATGGGACTCATAACATAAATAGTAAAAAGTGGGTGTTACATTGTATAGTGGCATTAAGTGACGTAATGTACCTACTCTTTCGGGGATAAAAGGTGTGACGTCATGTTATGTTATGTTCGTTTTAGTTTAGTTTTCATTTTGCTAAATATGCTTAGCGTCCGCATTATTTCGCGCCGCACCGCACCGCATCGCATAGGCGTTTTTTAACGTAGGACACATTAAATAGGTTTCGACAGTTTGTTATTTGCCCACCGCGCCGCACCGTTCCGCATTCACTTCTCGATATTAAAACCCTCGTAACCATTTCTATCCCAAAATTCCATAATACTTTGGTTAAAACCAAGATTAAACCCAGAATATATACTAGCATAGCGGTAATACTATCAACCACTCTCTAAGCCAATCCTTCATGATCCCATTAAATAAATGACGATCCATATCCAAAGCCCATAAAACTCCTTTAAAACTGACGCAACCGGATAAAAATCCCATCGTAGAGCGAAACAGTAAATTTACATCGGCCATAAAACCAGCGGAGATAATTCGCGGTTTACGGCTCTCTGATATGCGTGTATGACCTTGAAGTATAAAGTTTGTAACTGATATTCTTTGTTGGTGACCCCAAGTTTAGGGAAATAGATATAAAGATGCTGACTTTGTGGCTTCAATAAAATGATGATGTTCACGTGTTCTGATTTCTTGTCTCTTTCTTTTTTTTCTTCCAAAATAAACCTTGAGTAATTAGATAAAGATAGGTTTTTGAAAGTTCCGCAAAATACGATAATCCAATCTGTCACCATTTTGCCTAAACTATTTGCATTTTATAGCACAAACAAAAAGTTCTTAGCGAAGACAATCCTAAATTAAAGATAAAAGTTCTATTCTTTGAAAGTAATCAAAGTGTTCCAACTCCCTTTTGTTAAGAGAAAAGAAAAAATCTTTTTGCAAACCGTTGAAATATCGACGCGGCAATTTCACGTTCATTCCAACTCAACAGTTTAAAACTCCTGTCATTGCTTTCATTCACTTCATAACAAGAATAACCGAAGATTTTTTTCAAGAATAATCTTAGCAAAATTGTCGAGTCATTGATATTTTCTTTATTAATTGACAATTTTAGAATTGGAGTTATTTATTCATATGTGAATTTGTAAAAAAAAATTGATCTTGCTTTATATTATATTATATTTTATTTTCTAATTATCTATGTGTGTTCTGCGCAAGAATAAATTTCTTTCTTCTTTCCTCTTTCTTGAGAACGTAATTTGATAAACCCTTTGGTTCTGTAAGTAGCGTTTTTTATAATTGACAAGTAAAATATTATACTTATTGATCGTAATTTCTTAAACTGACTTGAGTTAAACCCATCGTCTAGAAGAAGTACAAATACATTACACACAATACATATTATTTCAAAGTAATGAAGTAATGAAGAATTATCAACAGGCTTACATAGTCGAAGCACCTAAGTGCTTAGAATCTAAATTCTATAAACATTTGTCACGCCAAGAAGTGTGAATATGAAAACTGAAATAAAATCAACAAACAGTCCGAAACAGAGGTGGTAGACAATCACATTGCGCGAAAGAAAACCCATTAAACAACAAATAAAACAAAATCCATAAAGATCACCACAAATTAAGTGCAATATGTTCAAGAAGATCGAAAGTAATTAAGTAGGTACATGCTCTTAAGTCACTGATAAGTGCGAAGTCGCCTGATTGCGTTCACGCACAAAACAAAACACTGTTATTAGTATGTCATCGTTTATGTGCCCACTCCTTAACTAGAACACCCGATAGCCTCGCCATATATCTTTATAGTTCCCCTACAGCGAAATAAAAACACGTAATAAAACTTTTAACTACCTGTAATGTCTTTACTTTTAAATGTATTGTGGTAGAAGACTGAGGTTTTTATTCAAGTGCGTTCTAAAAGCATTAAATATAATTATGTATTTATGAGTAGCTCGTTTATGCATTAGAATTAATTCGTTGTCTGAAATAAATTCAAATATTAATATAATAGTTTCAAATACTTTTGTCTATTATTTGACCAAATTAAAAATTAAGACTGTAAAATAAATGAACCACTAAATGAATATAACTAGACAACAGTTTGGATTCGCGATTTTATAATACTAATATCTACTTTTTCAAAGTGAGTTTCATAGCCATCACCACGCCGATGACATCAATGTGAAACGCGACACTATCGGTGGCAGCGCGCAATCGTGCGGGAAATAGTGCGCAATGTGATGCTTACTGTAAAATTGCTCACCGTTGCCCGCCCGAGGCGCGGGGCGGGCGGGCGCAGACAGCGCTAGCAGCGCCAGCGCCCACCACCATGTCATCACAACCACACCTGGAATAACGAAAAAGACATTATTAGACATTTATAAAGATAATACATTATAATAAGTGCACAGTTTTCCTGTATACTTTCAATTTCGATCATAGAACTCAAATTTGTACAGCTGACATGATAAACACAATTTTCGAATGGAATAAAGAACTAGAGAGATGAAATAAACGTCACCGCAAGGACTACATTACTGAAATCCAAGGCTTTGTTAAATGTAAAAAGACACATGTGATTATTACTATTCTCACAGATACAAAGTTTTTTGACAGGGAAATACTTTGAAACATACGTTTGGTTCATAATACGACATTTAGGAACAAAATACATGAATTAAACCGAAAGACTAGACTTATTTATCATATAAATAAAATAACTACATTATATCCTGTTATCTCCACAAAACAGATTCAAATCACAATTGATCGAGAATAAATTACTATACATTTATTTTAACTAAGCTTTGAAACGAAAATTAAATTCAATTCAAACACCTGTTCTGAGCGAAATAAATTGAAAACACATTTATTCAGACCAGAGAAACTGAAAATGAATTATTTAACAGCAATTTAGGTTTAAATGAAAATAACTGCTATAAATTATTTTTGTGAGCAAAAAGTGTGGAATTAATTTACCAATTGCTAAATGGGGTGCGTCTGGAGGGTAATGAATACAGACGCCACGAATATCAAACTACTCTTCCTTGCTTTCCTTAACAGATCTTCAATTCTATTACAAAAGCGATAAAGCTGAAAATCCATTACAGATTTCATGGATTGGTAAGCATGACAAGCTAGCGGTACAGACTCAAGGACTTATTTCTTTCGGAATACCTCAGGGGCCATTTTATCGTACCCAAGAGGGGTATTAGGCGATCTTGGGTAGACCGTAATTACGTACATACGTAAATTTTCAACTTCATCCCTTGAGAGTTGATAGAAACTACAGAAGCTCACCTGATCCCATGCTTCAAAGATATTCGATCGTTCTACGTGAACATAAGGTATTATACCTGGTCATGTAACATGGTTATAAATACGCTGCACCTGCCTTCATATCGAACGCGTTTATATTTGTTTATTTATTTATATTTGTTGTAATCTCACTAAAAACATACTTCGTAATTTCAAAGAAACGTGTTTAAAAAGAAAATAATATACCATTCTGCAAAGAAGGTGCCAAAGAACTGTTTCCTACGTTGATACGAAAGTCTATTTTATCACTTCATCGGAAGCCAAGAGAAATAGCGAAACGAATTCCAACAATACATCATTTCGAAGGAGCGACAAAGTTCAAAAATTGCTTCCCAAATCTCATGACAGTCTTCCATTTTGTCCCTCGTCAAGAAATAACTTCAAAAAGTTGGTTATACAAACTACACTCGGGTAGGGGTGTCGAAAATTCTGTGGTCTTAGTGAAAAAGGGTATACGTCCAATTTTGTTGAAAGTGAATTAATTTCCAAAATACATAACATAACATGTATCAGCCTTTTATCTTCAAAGGGATAGGCAGAGATGCACATTACGGCACTTAATGCCATTGTACAATGTAACACTTACTTTACACTATTCATGTAATGAGTCCCATATAATATAATAGGGGGTGACCCTATTGCCATATATCGATCTCAATTGTACTAGTCCTGAGATCTTTTAAAAAAACCGGTAATCTTTGCCCGATATTTGCGACCACACGGCCAACGAGGCAGTCAATTAAAAAAAACAACTAAAATAATCAGAATAAATCTTCATTAATCGCTTGATTACCTATAATAACATCACATTCACATGCAAGTATTTTATCATGTAGTAGTTTAAAGAGCACACAAAGCCAAACACAAAATTGAAGCGCACGGAGAGTTTTTGCATCTCCTATAAAGTTGCATTTTTGCACTTAGATCCTTTGTCACAAGGGTCACAGAATTTACATTATAACTTTTCGTTACTTAACAAACAATTTGTATTGTTGTTTGTTCGTTGATTTTATGAGTAATAGCTGATGTGGGTCGGAAAAGGGTCTTTTATATGTCATTCTGATATTACGGTATAATTGTTTTACTCGAGGACAAACAGGGCGGTTTGATACCGTCGACAGAAAAAATAATTTATGAACCTGTTGATAATGACATTCTGTAAAAAGGTAGGCAGAAGGAGTACCTATGTACTTCAATGAAGGTTTTTTTTTTAATGGGGGAAAATCATCGATTGACTGCTCCCGCCTGGGTGAGACGGGAGGGAGTGTCAGACTCTTACTGACTAAAAACCATCCCGTTCCTTCTCCTGCACGTCGAGCCAGAGCCCCGGTTACCCGTTGAAAGGTTACCGATTGATATTATCATCAATAGAATAAATATGTTAAGTAACACCCCTTTCATCAATGATAATAATTATATATGTTACGTTTACGTACATACATAGGTACACAATAACATCACGCCTTTTATCCCCGTAGAAGTAGGCAGAGGTGCACATTACGGCATTTAATGCCTCTGTGCAATGTAACATCTATTTTTCACTATTTATGTTATGAATCCCATGTAATACGCGGTGAGCCTATTACCATATACCGGGCACAATTCCAGTCTCTGTGCTGCGACAAAGGATTTTTTTTAAAACTCAGGAATACTTTGCCTTGTCCGGAAATCGGAATCGACACACCTTGCCCGGCTGTCGCACTTGCGACCACGCGGCCAACGATGCAACAGAATTCCTTGCGTAATTAATTACTTTTAGTAAATCAAAGTTCTCAACAATAATTCGTCCAATCAATATGGTCGGCAATGTGTGTTTCTTTGCTTAAAAAGCCAAAGTAGCGACTCTATAAAAGAAATACAGGTTAACACAAAAAAGTATTTAAATATTCTTATCAACATGGATTCTTCGTACGTCGTTTGTAGTAAAACTATTTGCGATAACCTCGTCTGGTTTGTCAACGGTGTTTTAATGGGCAATGCAAGGTAAGCATAGACTTCCTGCCTTCCAGCTAACGGGTATGTTATGGTCATATCAATTACTGTCTTACCCAGAACACATTTGAACCAAGTCTCAATTTTCGATAACAGTTCCCTTTACCAGTTTTACTTTTATGAGACAATTAAATATTCAATCTAAAGATGGTTATCCCCTTGTCTATTGAAAGTTGTGAGTATAATGTGTTCTATACCGGGAGCCGGTGTTTTAATAGATAAAAGGCTCTTATGTCTTGGATGTTTCGGTGGATTTGGTGTTTTTTTTTTCATATTTAATTGGCCGACGTTTGGCCACTATCTCGCCTGGTGGTAAGCGATGATACAGCCTGGATAGAGCACGTCTGCCTTAAACTTTGTATAGACAATTAATTTTTATTGCACTTCCCTGTTTCTCTTTAGTAGAGAAAACTTTAGCAATATTCTGCCTATATCTAGGTTTAAAGACCGAACAATTTTTTTGTATCGTGGATAATAAATATACTCCAAATCATAAAAATGGATTCAGTTCAAAGGACTATTACGAAATACATTTTAAAATTATACGTATAGAATAATGAGCCTAAATGTATCAAAAATACTAGAATACTACTTACATAGAAGTATTTTATAAAATACCAATTATCATATTATAGTAATCCATAGTTGACACTTAAAAACTCCTTCTAGTCAATAAAATGCTTTTAATCTTCAGCAGATGTGAAAGTGTACCAAGAATTCCATTTTAAGTTCTTCAAGGTACTACTACAAATTGTTTGACCTCTTACGTAAGTCGAGCACTTCAGTTTTGAGTCATAAAATAAGAGGATACATTAAAAAATTGAAAGTAAATCTTATGATGGAAATTGACCATCAACCGCCTTTGTCCAAAATAGGAACGAAGTAATAAATTCATCATTAAGAAAGCATTATGTTCAAATTAGTTAGTGGTGAACTTTGGTTTTGTATTACTGTTTTGTTTTAAATCATGGAAATAAAACATAGTCAATGTTTTTTTGGAATCTATCTGATATGAATGCCCCATCAGACTAATTTATATTTTAGTGAGACGTAATGCATAATATGCCATATGGTTTTGTAACAAGGCAGAAGTAATTAACATCGCTAAAGGACTGACTAGCAGACAATTATAATGTTGTGAGCGCTCTCTGATAAACCTGAACTTTTTAAACTAGAATCTCCAGCTGTCTGCTAAGCGTCAAATCCTTGAAATGTTAAGAGACCCTTCACCCAGCTTTGGGTGATTACAGTCTCTTGGATGTTTGCACCAGGTCTGGCAGTATTTCCAAGCAAATAAATCTATATGTTGTATGTTTTGGTACTCTATATTTCCAACAAGTAATTCTCAGCGCCCACCATTCCTATTTATATCTACAGAGATCTGTTTTGTCAATGGGTCTTTTACTAGCAAAGAGAGTTCAATGGAGGAAGAAAACTCCAAGAGTATCAGACATAAATATTATTCTACGTACATGACTGGAATTTTTATTAAAAATACGACCTTTGTGAAACAATCTTGCTGAGTTATGGAAGGTTTCAGTATTATAATCTTAAATTATGTGGGCGTTACCTCGGTAACGAGGATTTGAGTGGTTTTAGGTGTTTGTGTAGAATGAAATATATCTTTTGGTTAATTGTGCGACTATGGGTTTTCAAAGTTTGTGTTTTTGTTCCGTGATGACGTTTACCATGTATTTATTGATTTCTTGTCTATTAATTGTCGTTGAGGATATTGTGGTGGAAATAACCTGGATTTATTTCCTTCCTTCTTCTTCTCCTTTCTTTTATTAATGGACTAAAACCTATTTTTTACACATTTTCTTAAAAATTTAATTTGTTTATGCAACTTTCCTTTCCAAAAATAATTATCGAAATCGGATGAATAACTCAAATCACAATTAGGTTCAGTTTCCACGAGATTTTTCTAAAACAAACCACTTAGAGAAAACTAGGTTATGTCAACCAGTCTAGCACCGTCATTATCGGGGACCACCTGAGTTAATATACCTTGAAGCTCTTAAATAGACGCCTCAGTAA